TGAACAATTAATGACAGCTATATCACAAATATTTGCTATTATTGATAGAGAAATAAATCCATATGGTTATTGTTATTTAGAATTTCCTCAATTAGGACATTTTAAAATTCAATTTGGTTTAAGTACATTCGAGTTTAATGAAACATTTATTGAAGAATTTAAAACAACAAATGAAAACTAAACGAAAACTTTTATTTGATTTATGTCCGGTGATTATATTAAATGTTGTGTCAGATTTCTTTTTTCTTTTGTATGTATTCTTTGTTTGTTTGTAGTTATATTTGTATTGAAGAAAAAAGTATTTGTATAACGTGTATAGTTATCCATAAATTTCTATCATTTCATATTGACAAACGTATATACATATTAATTTAAAAAAATAATCTTTCAGTAAACATATATTAAATATACTTGGAGTTATTCAAAAATAGTACTTGTTTTTCTCATAAAAAAAAGACTTTCTTTATGAATAGATCGAGCGTCGTTCATTCTATTTGATAAGATTTGCCCCGTTGTCATTTATACTGGTAATACACTTGTATGAAAAATATAAACATGTCAGCAGATGCGGCAAGAGAAGTTCTACAATTCACTTAAGATCGTTTATTTCATAGTTACATTTTTTCGCTTTCAGTACCGATAAAACTTTTAGAAGGAAAAGATAATTTTTTCATCGGTGGTAAACTCGTTTTTGTGATATTTCAGCGTTTCCTCACCGGATATGTTTATAAAAGAAAAACAAAAAATACTACAATCGGTATGTATTGAAAATGGCAAAAAATTAAATCTTGAAGAAAAAATATCGAATGAATGAGTAATAATGTTTGATGAAGAGTAAAGGTGAGGGTAAGGGTGTGACTGTTCTAGTTAATAACGACGTTTTACATGCTTGATATTTTTCTTTTTTGATATTTTTTCTTTTGGCGTTTTTATAGTAAATCCTACAATCCACATAACAATACTTATTGTAACTGTTTTCAAAAAAAAAACAAAAATTCTATTCGACTAATTTTTGCAGCTCCAAAGTTTTGCTCATTTTGGAAAAAAACAGTACCATGATAAAGAAACGATTATATGTAAATTGTAGAACTCCTCGTGTTGCATCTAATGAAATAATTTTTATTTTTAATGCGACGTATTACCGGTTTAATCTGTGCTATCAACACAAACCTTATCGAAAATTTAGCATTGTATTTTAAACCTTCTGCCTCTATATCTGAAGAACACTGAGTAGAACGATGTTATAATTAGACACACGACATATCACGTGATATTCAAAAGAATATTATCGCATCATAATAATATAAAATTTTGATTTCTAAATTCTTCAAATCAATCATAGAATTTCAAAAGACGTTTTTTTCTCTTATGAATAGATAAAATTCTAAATATAACTAAAAAAATATATATGATTCATTTTCTAATTAGATTTATATCAAAGAAATCATTATTTTGTTTTTTGATTTATCGATATATATGAATAATAGGCTTTGATTATAATATATGTCTGATGAAATAATTCGTAATTCTTCTATATGACGATATTTGTTTGAAGGTTATCTTTCTTTTGAAGTTACTTTTTCACAATACAAGCATTGTTATGTGCATACCTGTAAGAAAAGCATGACTTCAATCGATCACAAGATATACAAAATCGGCTATAATTATATCTATAACTGACAGCTACATAAGAGCATACATAATTACAATCACTTTTTTCTGTCAAATTGTTGTCAATATGAAATGCAAATAATCTTTGATAATAAAACAATCGGAAATGCTTGACTGATTTCGACCTTGTCAAGATAAGTATACCGTTAGCTAGGATAACGAAGTAAAAATATTTTGATGAATAAATTTGATTATTTACTGTTAAAAAATACATTAATGTGCGATTTAAGTTTAGAATAATAATTACTTCTTTTATTATAGCTGTTAAATAATACTTAGTTATGAAGAATAGTTTATTATTGATAAAGATTTAAAAATAAAATTATCGACAATTTATAGGATTAGATTTGTTCGATAGAACAGTAAAGAATTTGAATAAATTATTTTATTTGATCGATTCAATGTGTTTAATTAACATTTCGTATGGTTAAGAAAAAAAAAGATATTATCGTAAAAGCGAAACATCATAAATAAAAATAATCGAAAACTATATTCAAAAGTATGATTAATTGAAAAAAAAATACTTAAATATCATTTTTGTTTTTCTGGAGTCCGTTAGGGATGAATGATTTGATTACTCGAGGACAATATCTGTTTTTTTACGCCTATCAAGTGGATATATAAATTAGGTAATAATCAATACAATTATTCAGTGTAAACAAAATCGTGTCCTCGATACAAACAAGAGGATAAAATAATGAGACCTGCTGGACCGTCGAGATCAGCGTAAAATAGTTTTTATTTAAACATATATTTTTCTTATGAATTTTTTTTGTTAATTAGTGCTGCATGGCCCTTGGCAGCAATCTGTTGTTTAGGTTTACTTTTATTTACAATTGCTGCAGCGATTGTAATCGCTTTAATTCCGGTATATCTTCCAACAAAAAATGCATCAGCTTCACAAAACGTTTTGACTTGTATGATTACTTTCTTTTTTCTCTGGAATAAAAAATAATTTTTTCTTTCTTTTTAATGTTTTTAGCTAATACACCATTCTATCTTCAAACTACTTCGGATGCAGATGATGACTCAAATCTAGCAGGCACTGGAACAAATACTGACGATGTAAAGTCGATAATTGTTATATATTTACTACTTGATTACATATATTTTTTTTTAATTTAGATTGCTAACAGTTTAGGTATATCTGGTGATGATATAAAAGTTACCGGGATTACTACTGCACCTGGAGGATCTGTGGTGAGACGAAAACGTGGCTTGTAAATTATATATTAAATTTGTTTTTTAAATTTATTGATTGATTTTTTATTGTATTATAGCAATTCACGTACAAAACGAAGTTTCTCAATACTAATTCTTATAACATGCCAATTTACAAAAGCATTCAAAGATTGTAATGCACATTGTATGAATGCAAGAAAACAATTCCAAGCCAATGTATTAAAAATTACTAGCCTTCCCATAAAACTTGCAGTTAATCCTGGCAGTGCTGGTCTTGGTACTGCAGGTACATATGGTTATACGTGTAAAAAATTTACATTTCTAACAACAAGTAAGTAAACAGAAAATTGTTTGAATAAATTTATTTATGTTAATTGTTATAAAGAACCATCTGGTTTCCCCGGACCGCCACCATCAAACACATTTACCTGTATAAAATCAGGTCTATTCACCGATGCATCGATCTGGGATAACGGAATAGTTCCATATGGTGCTTGCAATGTTGTTATTCCTGCTGGTTTTCATGTGGTTCTTGCAACTCCTGGAATTGGTATTCGAATGATATCGTTGGTTGTATATGGTACATTAAGTTTGGGTTCAGGCAGTTCAACTTTTAAATTTAACTTTGGAATTAATCTTGTTTGTCGTGATGGTGGAAAAATTGAAGATTTAACAACAAACAAACAATTTCTTCTACCTTTCGGTTCGGTAGTTACTATATATCCTAATGGCGGTTTTGTTGCAGCTGGAACTACTCTTCAATCATATACTTCAACAGGTAGTCTAGCAAAAAGTGTTACAATAAGTTCAACAACTGGTCCATTTACTTGTGGTATCTTACCCGATGGAACTACTCTTACGTATAATCAAGTAATGTTTTTTGTTATAAAATCTGGTGATATTGGAACAGGATCATGTTATCTTGGTGGTTCTGCACCAACAGGTCCAGCTTGCGCATCGTCTGGTTGTGGTATTTATGTTGCACCAAGTTGTACATTAACTACAGCTTCATTGAGTGGTCAATTGAGCATAAATATTGGTACTATAATCGTTAACTCAGGATCTACTTGTGATCTAGGAACAGGTGGTTCAAGTAGTCAATTTAAATGTATCAATCCAATTAGCATCATTGTACGAAGTGGTGGAACACTCCAAGTTTCAGCAACAAGCAAAACTTTACTTCTTCCGTTAGGTTCCATGGTTACTATATATAAAGGTGGAAGTTGTACGGCAGGAACTGTTATTCAATCATATACTTCATCAGGTTTAGGAGGTACTATTCAAGTACCCAACGCTGGACCATTTACTGGTGCATTTTTATCTGACGGAACTGTTCTTCAGTATAATGAAGTAACATTCATTGCTATAAACTCTGGTGATATTCAATCAGGATCATGCTATATGGGTGGTTTTGCCCCAAATGTTGCAGACTGTAGTTCTGGTTGTGGTATTTATATTGCAAAAGGTGTAACATTATCAACAGCCAGTCTTAACGGTGTACTGAATATAGATATTGATACATTCACTGTAGCTTTCGGAGCTACTCTTCAAATTGGCACACCTGGTTCAACTGCTGGATTTAAATTTCTCTTTCCTGTCATACTTGACATATCTGGTACATTCTCATTTGTTGCTGCTGGCGGTGGAATCTTTTTAGTTGTTGGTAGTGAGTTCAATCTTCTAGCTGGTGGTTCATTTATTAGTGCCGTCGCAACATTTCTTCAAGTCTATGATCCAGTTAGCGGCGCTCTTATTGGTGTCGCATTAGCATTAGTTTCAGGTCAGACAGGACCGTGGTTTGTTACTGTTTTAGCTGGCGGTGGTTTTACAATAAGCATTATAGGTATGAAATTAGTTTAAAATTTGAGAATAGAATTTCACTTTATATAAAATTAATTTTAGGTGCGGGTTTAACTGGTGTATCATCTACTGTCCCGGTACCAACTGTTGCAATGGGTTAAGCGAAACAAATGTCTTTTGCAAATTGACTCTTTTTACGTTTACACTTTTTAGTTAGCTAATATTTTCTTATCACACAAAACTTATTTTATCCTCGCTATATATTTATTGTCCTTTTTTATTCTTCATATCTTTTTCTCTTTCACAATCCTATTTAAAAATAAAACCATTTTCTTTTAACTATATCGATAATATAAGAAAAATGAAAAAAATGTAATGGTTGTTTAGATTTAACTCAATGAAATATATTTACCTGTATACAGGTAAAATAAATTATTGTCTTATCGCATTCCAATCGATTCAGAATTTTTTTTCATGCAACTGTCATCTATAATCATATCATTGTATTCATGTTAATGACAGTTCTTAGTCATACTGTATCAAATCAGCAAACTAGATAAATATTTAATCATGCGTATAAATATATGATAATAATAATAAAATATTTTCGTGTGTCGCACCTGAATATACGATTTAACGCATCTATAATAGAATAAATTTTGTTTTTCCCTCGACTGCATTGAAGCAGAACATAAATATTAACGTGTGTTAAACAACATCAAGCAATGAAATTATCAAAATTTAAGAGATAGAATATTTTCTAATTCTAATATAACTTCAGATTTGATTTATGTTCCGATTTGAATCTTAACACAAAAATATAAAACTCTAATTTATTTTTATTTGGTTATGTATAAAAGAAACTACAATTCTTATGATGGAGATGATTTTGATAAAAAATCGTATTGTTGCTTCTATTCAACATATCATCTACTGATTTTCAAACCATTTTTGTTGAGAAAAATCAAAAAAAAAATTTAAGAGAGGGTGCAATTGTACTCAACGCCCTCTCTGTATATCCACCACTGATCCAGATCTAATTGAATGTTGATTAATATCTTTCTACCCATACTGTAAAGACATCTGTATATCTGTATAGATAAATATATCCAATGATAAAGAGACGTTCAACCTCTTTTCTTGCCGCTATAATCAATGCCATTGGATTTACTTTTATGAGCGTGTTCACACTTCCATGTGACTCATTATTAACTATTTCGTCGTTATAATATATCTCAATTAGTACGTAAATATATATTATCAGATATAGATCCGATCGTAAAAACAAATGTATCTCAAAGATTTACTTTTTATTATTTTTCTTTTATTTGTATTCAATAATCATTGGACACAAGGTATTCATTATGTTTAAAATATATTCTAAATAAAAAACAAATTTTTTTTATAGGACAAAATATAACAACAACAACAAATGTAACAGCTTCTACAACTACAACGAGTAATATATGATAAATTTTTTTTTAAAAATTCAAATATTGTTTTTATTATTCAGATGTATTATCGACAATATCGTGTCCGGAAAACGATCCTAGTTGTTCATTAATAAAAGGTATAGAAAAATAAATAATTCATAGAATATTTAAATCATTCTTTTTTGTTCTTTATTAATTAGATGAAATCAAAACATCAGGCAATGGAATTCGTCGTTTATTTTATATTTTTGTTGGATGTTTATTAACAACATGTTTAATAATTGCTATGATTATAAGTTACAATCGTATAATTGCACAACATCCATCAACGAATACGAATATAAATAATAGATTTCATAATATTTTACAAACAATTGGTTTAAATAATCTTACTAAAACTGGAAGATTTCCTTTTTTTTCGATTTCAAATAATAATCAACCATCCGCAAATCATCGACAAGGTGAAACATCACGTTCACATTTAAATGAAAATCAAGATGAAGCATTGTTATTCGATGATCCATATACAGATGGAATTATTTCAGGTGGTATTCATGGATCATCAACGAATCCATATAAATCATTAACACTTTCAGTTACTTAAAACAAAAATCTCTATTCAACATATAATCTCATTATTCAGATTTAATAGTTTTTGTTTGTGTATGTATATTTGTATTAAATACATCTTATTTTATGAAATTTATTATATGTCATTTTTCTTACGTCTCATCTATTGTTTGGAGTTAAATTATATTATATATTGAATTCGAAATTATGATTTTTGATCTATATTCATTTAGAAAACAGAAGGGGATATACAGTTTGATTGATTTTCAGAGAGTATTCTATTAACTTGAATGATGTTTTTTTTGTATAATAAATCTTGAAGCTTTTTTTTTTGTTGAATTAACGTCTTTTATAAATGATTAAATCAACTATATTTTCGAATAAATAATTTCTCCATGACAACTTATTATTGTCTAGTTTAATGTCAGGCATTGAAATTGAATATAATAATCATACTGGATGGTTATGTAATGATGATCTTATTCTCGTATGTGATCGAGAAGAAATTATTGATAATTCATTTATGGATGATAATAAACTTCAATTAATGAATCGAACACGTCGTCGTTATATACCAAAAGTTAATTTTAATGATAAAAAATTATTTCCTTCAATATTAAATCGAACAGTAACAAATGAAATTAATACTGATGATGAACTTCTTTCAGAATTAAGTTCAATGTTAGCTTGCCGTGAATATGTTAGTAAACAGAATAACTTTTTTGATCGAAAACAATTTCAACAAGCTCAAGCAGCACAAGCAGATGAAGAAAAAAAATTTCATGAACAACAAAAACGTCAACAAGAACAATCTCATATTGAACGACTACAACGAAGGCGACAACATCCATTGTATGTTAGTCGATTTGATGAAAAACGTTATGTACCATCAATAAGAAAAAAATTATATAAATTTCATTATTAGATATATTATTGTTTAAAGAATAATAAAAAAAAATTCTTTTCAACGGTATATATCGCCCTCTATAATTTAGTTTCATAACAAAGAATTAGATAATACAAATTTTTTTCGAAATTTTATAATATATCTATCTTTGATTATATAAAATCGAGTCTAGTTTATCAGTAATATATAATTGGATAAAGATTTCCATTGTCTATTCTATTATCCATACTATGTGATAAATTATAATAAACACCAATCATACAATTTCTTAATTTAAACTGCTTTCCCGTTTATTTGTTTTTCATCATGCCGGTGCCAATCGAAGAAAAAATATAAGAGCATGTTCTTTTTCTTCCTTTTTTCTCGTTGAAACAGCATCCGATTTATGGTACTTTTGTTTTTCTATATAGTTGTTCTTTTCGGCGATTGCGAGTCGAT